ATAATAATTAATAGATAATGAATAATAATTATTATCCGATCCCGTCATTTTAGTTTTAAGAAGAGAAGTCTTGCCAATCTAATACGTAATAAAATACTTGCTACATTTCCTTTATATATTGCAAAAGTATTTAATTTAGTAAATTAAATTTCATTATTTACGTAAAAATAAAAAAAAAATACATAATTAAATATATTTAAAATTAAAAACTAACGATTTTAGTTATTTTTTTGTAACTGTAAAAATGTTATGTTTAGGGATTTGAAACTTTTTTCTTGACTGTAGGTAAACAGTGATGTTGTCAGAGTAAGTTTTATTAAACCCGCTCTGAACAGCAATATTAATAATAGTTGTGCGTTCATCAAGTGAAATGAAAAACTTATTGCATGACATATAATAAAGTAGGCGATCGTACGTTATCCAGCCTAATGAAGTCGCCAGGCTGTTTTAAATATTTCAATATATTTTTAGATAATAATTCTTTTCACCTAATCATTTTCATAAATCTGTATAGAATAATATAACTTTGAAAATAAATATTGAAAATAAATTGTGTCATGCTCTCCATTAAAACCATTATTGGAATCAGTCTTCTAAAACCGGTATTATGTGATGATCGATGACCTACAATCTACACGGTATTATATTTCAAGAACTATAATATTTTAAGCCAATTATGAATCATGGATATTCTCTTGATACATGAGATTTAACACGACATACATTAGGTGGAGTGGAATATTGTAAATTGGATCAATCGTATAAAATGTAATTAATCATTATGTCCTAAAAGTCCCCTTGACAAAAGTATTTTTAATTGTTATTTTTCATGCCAATTACAATTTACAAATACGAAATAATTCGAATACCGTATCGATATTATTCGTGTGGTGGTGAAACTTATAATTGAGATTGGGGAGAGTGCTTAGAGCACGGCAGAAAGGGACATCTTCCAATATACGTTATATCTCTTACCAATAAAAGTTTATAATTTTTTTAAATCAGCTCATCCTTATGGAACTGCGTTTAACAGCAAAAAACAGATTATAAAATACATAGGTACACAAAACAATTTTTATTTATTTTATTACTTTTTATCCTAACTAATATTGTTCAGTAATCGTTTATAACATAAATAATATCTATTTACAAATGACTTAATTTCTTATTTCATTTAAAGTATACAACTAAACACGTCGGGTGAAAAAATTTCATTTGAGAAACCATTTACCGCCCGTTATATACATTAACCTGATGTTTTTATATTGTATTATTTTTTCGCAGGGCTTATTAGACATGAACAAAACCGAATTCCTACAACTGCCGAAATGGAAGCGTACAAAAATCAAACAGTCTGTTGGTCTGTTTTAATACGATCCGAAATCACCCATACGAACTATATTGTCGTTGTATGGTGTGTGCGTGTGTTTGTGTGTGTGTGGTGTGTTGTGTGTGTGTGTGTGTGTGTGTGTGTGTGTAGATTAAAAAAAAATATATTGTGTGCAATCTTGTATTTTTCTACTGTGAATTTTTAATTATTACATTTTAAAAATGCAATATATTTTTTTTACTTATACCATACGATAAGATATAACAAGTTACTAAAACAAAACATTATTTTTATAATATATTTTTAAGTAATATTTTTACCTTAATGTTTTGGTTTGCTGACTTTTAATAACTTGTAACACTTTTTGTATAACACATTTTCAAAGATACGAGTTGTGTGCTATTTATTTTTTTACTATAATCAGAATACTCAACATTTTTTTATTTATATAATTACAATAATTTGATGTTTATTTGTTTTGTTTTATTTTTAGGCTGTGATTCTTTGTAATAACAATATTTTTCAATTAAAGGTCTCAATATTTTCATACTTTTCTATTAATATTTATGTATATTTATTTAAATCAAGAACAATTAAAGCTCAACTTAATTATTTTCAAATGTACAAGTATTTAATATTCCCTAAATATTTTAAATTGTAATCTAATTACGTGAATGCCTCCTGAAACCAGTTTAGCATTTATTTTATTACCTATTTAAAATTATCATAAATGCCAAATTTGTAAGTCAATTTACCATGTAACTGCTGCTCACCACCTATGTTTTTGATGTAATGTCTTGCTATATTAATATTTTAGTTTTGATTCGATAATATGTATGAAAAATAATTATACTGTAATTACAAGTCGCAATTGAAATATCTCTATATTGTTACATAACCATTGTCTGTCAACATGTAATTAAGTAGATGAATAATACTAAACACAATTGCACAAATAGTGTTGTATCTACCTTTAAATTAATTATGAACTAGAATATTTGACACTTATAATAATTATGTTTTACCATATTTTTCCTTGTACACAATTGATTTATATTATGATGTCCTTATGTTCCTTGATCTGAAATCAATAACAGTGTTCCATGTATAGACTTTGAATATGTTATAAGTCTGGTTCAATGTTTCTTCAGTATTCTTTCAGTTGTAGAAAAAAAAATATTTCTTTTGTAAATATTTATTTTATGCACTCTCCAATCATTTTGTAAAGATCCACTTTGTGAATTAGTAATATTATTAATACTCAACGTGTGATATTTAGTTTTAAAAATAATATTGTTTATTTTTTTTTTTTTTTTTTTACTGCAATTTTGTTTTAAGATGTTATTTGACCTACCACTATTTTTATATTACCATTTGTGATTTCAGTGTTGTCAATTTCATTTGTCTAATAATTTACTTCCGTAACTCTAATAATTTTTTTAACATAAATAATATTTTTAATAAATAAACACTATTTTATATAACCAATTGATGTGTTATGAACCAGATATGCAGTTCACTTTAATATTAAATATACTTGTATGTCATGTAATGTACAAATATGATATGAAAGTATACATGTAATCCTAACTAAATATAATAAATTAAAAACTCATAATAAATACAAAATGTAATATTTATTTATTTATTATTTATCACATACACATTTTTGGTTCATTATAGTTTTTAATTAAATCAAAAATCTTTGATAGTAACTTTAATTCGGAAGTTCTATCACATACATTTTTCTTTCATTGACAAAGAGATATATTCTGGCAAAAAAATTAAATTTTCAATCTAAATTGTATATATAGCCATTTTCCATTTTTAAATCTAATAATTACTGATAAGTATAGTTGTAAATAGCAGGATGAAACACACCTTCCCTTCAAATCGGTGTTTTGTAATTAATTAGAAAAATATTAGGATTTCTAAAACTTTTTATATAGAAAAATATAATACCACAAACTGTTGTTTATTGAAAAATATCAAATCTACTTTATGTCTAAAATATACTTAATAACACACTATTTTCATATGAGATTCACATAATAAGTATTAAATTAAATATTAAATTTATTTTGTATCATAGTACGGCCATTTTTTCAAAATTTGAATAAATTCATTAAGTGCTTGATGAAAAAATGAGAGTAGACATACCTCATGCTTTATAAATCATCCTTAATATAAACATGATAGGTGAATAGTAGGCAGATTATCTACATAGGAAGTATCCTATCAAGTTACATTATTGAAATTAAAATATTATAATTAATATTTTAGTTTAGATTTAATGTTAAAACTGATTTAAAATAAATTTTACTTCCCCATAAAAATTTCTCAAACTACACTTATGCTGGTAAAAAAATATGTAATAATATTTTAAAGGAGTACACTTGAGTGCGTATACCTGGAAGACAATAGATATTATATTTGAGCATATCTTTTGTAATATCTATATAGTATATATTTTTGTGTACAATTTAACGTTGAAGAAGTTACATAAGCAATATACCAGCAATACAAATCTACTTCTATTTAACATACCTTAAAACAAATCTGTAAATGACCAGTCAACCAGGTACTAAGGTACTTATATAATAAAAGAAAAACATTTGAGATTATGTTGGCCATTTATAATTTTTACTACATTTCCTAGTTAATTAAAAATCAATATTAATGAAAATTGATTTAACAATATCAAAATATATCCAACTCGAGTTCTCATTTCATAATTTATATAATGAGTTTCATAAAATGTAAAATAGTAATAGACTTAAAGTATTTATAAGTCCACAAGTAATATAAAATAACTTGAACATTTAATTCCTCATTATCATATTTTCAATTTTCATAACAATAAATAATCACTTTTACAATGTTATTCTTGTATTGCATAATATATTTACAATTAATAGTATCTCATAGGAGAAAAAATTGAATTTATCAATATGCAAATAAAACTACAGTATTCATTTATAATTTTAAAGAACCAAACTTACTGCCTTATTTCTTTATTTTACTTGTTTTTGTCTTCTATCATTTTTCTATTATTCTACATTAAATTATATTTTCCTATTGTTATTCTAAATTCTTTGAGTAAGAACTTACAATGTCTAGGATCACAAAATTTGAGCTTCCATTCTCTCCATGATTTATTTTTGATAATTATTTTTATACAATTGAATATATCTGATTCATGAACAATATTGGTTTTGCTACAAAACACAAGTAATACAAACATATTATATTATGTTAATTTTTCTGATTTGAGTATGTTTCAATAATTTTGATAACATTTCAAATGTATTATACATCAATACCTTGCATAACTAAATAAACACTCTTTCTGAATTAAAAAACAACATTTATCAGAAAACTTAGGTTTTATATTACTTGTACAAAATACATCATACTTAAATTGAGTAAAATAGATTCTCAAATTTAAAAATGATACACTTAACTGGTTTTAAACTATGCAAACGTAAATACACGATTTGTTATTTCGAGGAACTTGATTTTTAATTTATACATTATCGAAATATTTATCATTCGTACAGGAAATGTGTATTTATAGTTTACAGTATTGGAAAACAAAATAATAATTTTTATAAACACAAACTGGTATGAAAGTTTTCCAAGAATAATAATAGTAAGCAAAATTTTGAGCTGTTAAAATTAAATTAAACATTCATATATATAATTTGTTTTAAATGAATGTATATAATAATGAGGTTGTATGAAAAAAACGACTAGAGTTTTAACAACATGATTAACCACCAAATATAGCTTCTTTTATGGAGTCTACATATTGTGCTGGTACCCAATATACCCAATAACGAGATGCTTCTGTTGTTCCCAACTGAAAACCCTATTGTAAAAAAAGACAAAAGACAATTTTTCATTTATGTGTATGGAATATATTCTCATATTAAATTATTAAATATTAATGTGATAGTTAACATTTTAAACACAGATAATATAATTTATTAATTATTTTTAACAACTTACTACAAAAAATGAGCAATTACTTACCACTATATGATACTCTTCATGTCCTTCAATTGGTTCACTAACCACATGCCTAATTGTATTCATGGCTACTTTTTGAGTTCGTTCTTTAGTACCTATCCAAAGTTGATCCACTTCCAATTTAAATGTCAGTCTTACTTTTCCTCCATGCTTATTAAGCATTCCACTTAAAGGATGTGGTGGTAACGGATCCTATAATACAAAATATTATAATTTATAATATTGGTAATTGCAAATGAAAAATAGGAGGGCATCAATATTTTTTCACCACATTATATTTTAATATGTTATTTAAATTTTTATTTTAAATAGAAAATTCTAATTTGGTGTCTTAAACTTACCTAACCTACTAGCTAATAACATACAGGAGTACAATACTACTATAAAAGATGAATAATTTAATGTAACAAATTCAAGGCAAAAAATTTAAAAAAAAAAAAAAACAATAAAAAAAATAAATATATTATTTTTTTGACAACTTAAAATGAGGTAACCAAAATATATTTAAAAATGATAATAGTTTTTGAAATAATGAGTACCTTACATTAAATAGATTACCTAGTATTCACATTATTTATATAAAAAAATAATAATTGGAAATAATAAAAACTTTACTAAATACTGTTTTTAACTCATACAGCCTTGAATACTAAGTATTCACAAGCACAAATAAAGTAGGTATAATATTTAATTAAATGATACAAAATTATTAATCAGAGAACATTAATAATATATATACCTAATTTATTATTAAATATTAATACAGACAAACAAACCTTAATATTTAAAATTCCAACTAAAGCATCATCAGGTATACCACGTTCCAACACTTTTTGATGCAATTTTTTCTTACATAATGGTTCTTTACTTGTTGAACCTGATTTAGATGAACTCGATTCCTAAGAAAGACTTAAGTGTTGTATATCTAAAATAATTTAAAAACATATCTCACAAACCTCTTCAGTATTTGTTAAAGATATGGCTACAATATCTTGTAACTTGGCGCCAACTACCATTATTTTGGAAGAGGAATTGACATTCAAAGACTCTAAAGTTTGATCATCTTTGGCCAAACCCTTGATCATGATTTTTTGCATCTTGCTTGGAACACCTATTATATCAACCAATTTGTTTTTAAGTTGCTCAATTGTAGACAATAATGGCATGGAAACTATGTATTTGTCTTTGTTGTGTATGATAGTAAACTCAACAGACGGAGAATTAAGGATCAAATCACAGGCTTCCTCTTTCACAACAGATTCTGTCGTTTGTTCTTCCGCAGCACTTTCAGTCGTTAACTCCTTCATTGTACATTCAGTAGTTTCTTCCTTCACAACACATTCTGTTAGTTTTGTTTCAGTATTGGCCTCACAGTTACCATTTATTTCTTCTAAAATAAATCAGATATCAATAAACTAATTTAATTAGTCAAATGTTAAAATACCAATACTCATTAACTACAGTTACTCACCGGTTGACTCCATTTATCTGCCCGACAACAAATACCGTACAATAATAAAAATATAATTTGTTTTAAATTTCAATCCAAAAATTCAATTCCCACATACATTGAATTACTACTGTTGATAAGTTAATAATAAGCTGTCTTTTGAAAGCCTTTTGCCGAGTAAAAATAATTTACGTTTTATAGATGAGCTGCTGCAACACAATCAAATTTCAATGGATACAAAACACCATGAATATCTACTTGGCTAGCCACCAGGTACTTTCTTACTTTGTCACGATGATCATCATATTTTGTTAAACAATATTCATGAATACAGACGAATAATGATATAAAATTTTTTGATTCTGTGTTATCTTTCCGGCTAGGTAGTAACAGCTTATCAATGTCGCATACAGTGCAGTAGCTTCACAAGAACTCAAGAAAAATCCTCGGAAATTACCTTATTTTAGGTATTGACTACGATTAAAACTTAAAATATCTGAAATTGTAGAATAGACCAGTGGTTTTCAACCGGTGTGTCGCGGCACACTGATTTGCCGCGAGCGCCTTTAAAGTATTCGGTATTGCTTCAGTTTCAGTTACGTATTGTATTTAACTGTAATACCATAATTTATAGTTTTATTGTCATTACAGGAAAATATCTAGCTGAAGTCAACTCAACATAAGTTACATTAGTTAATAACAGATCATCTCAAGGTTATGAATATAGTTAAAGTATCTACAAAGTATCATGGTATCTTTAAATTTATTTATTTTAGGAAATTTGTCATGAAGTATAACAAAATGTATTGCAGATTTTGTTTTTCTGGATATTTCCAGTATAATATTTCCTAAATTATAAATCTACAATATTAAGCAAGTTAAGGAAGTAGTAAGTACAATCTAAAGTAAGTAGTAGATATAGCTCCGGGTAAATAAGTAAGTACACTTTTATTTCAATTATGATTAATATTATAAATACTATGTTTATATTTAATAAATATTATTTTACTAAAAATGCAGTTGTTATTTCATTGTTTGAGTTATGAATAAAACCTTCTAACTTTCAATTTACAACTTATTCCCAACTTAAAATTTCCTATTACTTCCTTTATACTGACAAAAATGCAGAAGTCTACAAAACATGTTTCAATACTTGTTATATTATTTTAAATTATAATTATAAATAATAAACTATTTATTTATCATTTATTATTTATATTTTATTAAATTAATAAAATAATATTTTGTGGAAGTTAAAAATAATGAGGTGCAACTACATTTAGAACCAAACTAAAATAATATCGCGTAAAATATGAAATTAAGACGTTAGCCCATGTGCAAGACAAGATAAGTAACACCATTAGTATGTATATCTCATTCTAACATCCTCTTTCGGGCAACACTGCTTGGTAGAGCATTCCAGTTATCATATAGAGTTCAATGCATACTTCAAAA